GTAATCTCAAATGTAAATTATGAAACATGTTTTACAAGAGAAGAATAGCTTTGTGTATTTTATTTTAAATTTATATATGTATTTCTGGTCAGTTGTTTTGGGCGGTGTAGTTTCTTATTAGAGAACTGTGGGTTGTCACACATAATTTAACAAATTCATTGTAAGTAAATCTAATTCTTTCTTATATGGATTATAGGATTGCTAATTGATTGAAAAGTTTTTTAAAAGTAAATTTTAAAAAGGACATCTCTAGACCTTTTTCATTAATAATCAATTCAACTAGCTAATATTTTATTGAAAGAGAATTTAAAAGTTTCATGCTATTCTTAAATGCAAACTAAGTGTGATATCCGAATGCCAAACGAGGCACCTACATCCGATAGGAGACATAAAAGATAAAATAAACATGGTATCAGAATTTTACATCCCAACACAAAATATAAAAGCTTTACATTGAGGCATTAGGCTATCTACAGATATACAATTCAAAAGAGATAATCTATACAAAATATATTAACCTCTAAAGTGTTTAAACAAAATATTCAAGTATGCTCCCACAACTAATCCTCCTGGAAGGAATCTATGTTGGGGTCCTCAACAACTCATCAGAATCTGCACCTGTGAGGGTGTTGGATTTGGGTGAGTTCCAATACTCAATAAGATAGACAATATTAAAGGCATATAAACATGCTTTGAAAACAGTTCCTTAATGTAGAGTTAAATAAAATAGTGATAAATTTATTAACAATAAACAATCATTTTCATCCTATTCAATTTGTATGATAACTATTCAATTGTTCATAACGCTCAATACTGTATTCACTGTGTTTATATAACAAACATACACGCTTCCAAGATTAGACACATCTTCTGACTTAGTTTTAATACGAAATTATTATCTTAATTTTAATTTCACTACTTACAATCCTACGCGCGTAACCACTAACACTATTTTTAAATAGGGCACAAGTTACCAACTAGCTAAGGTTGGAGGCGCCAATCAATAAATGACTAAAAAGATATAAATAAATACATACAATTTACTCAATACTCTCTGGATTCTATCCGGCAAATTTCACTCCAATTGCCATCATTCATGTCCTTGAGCCCTAGGACCATGAATAGAAATCATTCAGAGTCCTCAAGCCATTGAACCTAGCTCTAACTAGAACCCAATATCACACCCAAAGTCTAGTGGCTCCCCTATTAACCTCAATATACCTCTTAGGAAATTAGTGAACTGGATTTAATGAAACACTGTGTTATTTGTATTTAGACTCTTTAATTTTTTTTTCTTAAATTTTTATTTTATCCTATGTGATTTTCTAAAATGGATAATTGCTATTACCTAATTACTTAGATTATTAATTCGATTTAGTTTATTATTTAGTGTTTGATTTCTTTAATTATAATTTTTATTCTTTTCAATTAACTCAAATATTTTGTTTTATTTTATTTTATTGTCCTTTAATATTTTGTTTAGGTTTAATTTTATTTTAATTTTACATATTTGTCAATCCATTAGATTACAATTGTTCCATTTCCATTTAGCTTATACTTTATAAATTTCCCAATTCAATACCCACAATCCTACTCCAATCTTAACCATTTTTTTTAATTTCTCAGATAATTTAACTTTTATTAATTTCCCCAACAACTTAAATTGTCCGAAGTTTAGCCCAAGAAAAATAAGTCTCCATGTTGGGCCTCGTGGCCTAATGTGCTTCTGTGAAGGTCTCTCAGCATGGTTTCATGCCTATTGGGCCAGCACAGTTTGCTGGCCTCTTGCACAAAGGCAATCAGTCCATGTGGCATGAGTTAAAGTTGTGTAGTAGGCACCCTTATGCACGTTTGCA